TTTCATTTGGCTTGGGATCCCAGCCTAGTCTAGCATTAACTTCACGGAATAGATTACGTCCAAATGCTTTGAGAGAATCCTCAAAGTCCAAGTGCGAAATAAGAATACCAATTTTACTTAAGATATTCACTATAGTGGACCACACGGTGTAGTTGTCCTCATGCAGGAACGCCTGCATTAATTCGAGTACTTCTACCGTAGATGCGTAACCCGCCTGTACCATTGCAAAAAGATCGTCCAGTAAGCCTAATCTGTCCAGGGGAGGTAATGTGTGATCTTTAATAGCTGGTAATAGAAGTGATAGAGCGGACTGACTATAACGAGTCCGATAGAATCCAATTGTACCAGGATTGATTTTCAGCCATGTGCCTTCGGGAACGTTTTCGATTACAAATTCCTTGGTTTTTGCATCTAATATGCCATCGAATACTATTTTGCTCGGATTTTGTGAAGAGCTCACGCTTATCGGTATGAGCCATGCATTATCTGCATTGCTATCCACTGATCCATCAGCCAGGAATCTCTCTTGAGATAATGATAAGATCCTATTGTTACCTTCTTGACGAGAGTCAACTTGGACAACGGGGAAACCCTGTCTCTTGGTCCATGACGACATTACTTTACGCACAGCTTTATTACTGGCCTCCTCCAACGCAGCCCAGAGATCCTCCGTCTCCGCATTGGCGTAGCTATGTCTCTTTAGATATAGATTCATACCATTTCTAAAATCATCATCACCTATGTATGCATGCAACATACGAATCACAGAGGCGCCTTTGTGATACGATATGTCGTCAAAGATCTCGTCGATCTCCGACGGATGACCGACCGGTACCTCAATTGGATGACTGTTTTTCAAAGCATCTAATTCCAATGCTCGTATGTATGTGTCCGTTACAAACTGTGTCCAGATATCATACTCTGGGAACAAGTGCGCAACGCATAGAAACTCTACGAATGATGCGTAACCTTCATTCAGCCATAAATGCGTCCACCATTCCATCGTCACGAGATTACCAAACCATTGATGTGCCAACTCGTGTGCTACTATCAACGCGATCCACTGTTTGCGTACCGCTGAGGTGTTCTGAGGATCCACGAGTAAACAGGTCTCGCGATATGTGACAAGTCCCCAATTTTCCATAGCGCCAGACGAAAAATCGGCAATCGCTATGAGATCAATCTTCGGTAAAGGATACGCGATACCAAAGTAAGTCTTATAGTAAGGTAGCACCTTGGTAGCTACTTCCAGGGCAAACTGGCCCTGTTGTTTCTTAGATTTGGGCACATAAACTCGAACTAACACACCATCACTAGACATGTCCTCTATATAATCAAAATCGCCTACTACTACAGCCACTAAGTATGTTGACATAATAGGTGTTCTTTCGAAAGTCAATGTTTCGTAGCTCCCATTTGTAACTTTGTTTTTTACAGGCTGAAAATCAAAACAAACAAAATGTACTTACATATATATGTTGATATTAAGTTGGTATTCATAGTCCGTTTTTATTATAAAAACTGTCTCAAGTAATGTCTTAAAAGACTCAAAACTAAGGCATATAGAAAAACATTAACAATAAGAGAATCAGTGAATATAAGGCAATAACAGGTAATAACAAATCCAAAATATTGATTCGCTTATTGTTTTTTTTTTTGTCATAGCCTTAATATGGTTTTTATATTTGACTTTGTGAATAAAGGTTATGACATCTTAAGATTATACCGTGTTTTAAAAAGCAAAATTCATTACTCGAGATTAGTTTTCTTTCTTCTGTTTAATTAAGTTCTAATCCAATTTCAATATCAATCTCTAATCTGATGACTCAAAAAAGATGTTAAATATAAGAACCGACTATGAATGCTACATATAATAAGAAATAGTAAACAGATTAATAGTCAATATATATGAAATATTAATTTTAAATTACACGTGTACATATATTAAATATAAAAAAGTATAAGAAAAAGAACATATACATCTATTTAATTATAAATCAGAAGATAGGAAGCAAAAGAAAAAAATCAAATAATAATAAAAGAAAAGCAAATAATAATATTACAGATGCTGGGCGCTGCTTACCATATTGGAAAGTGCTGTAAGACCGATTGGTACTTTTAGCGTAATGTCAAATGTTGCTTTTAGTGCTGGCTCGTCCCAACATGGGAAGCAACGTCTAGCATCTGTCGGCTCAAATTGGGTAATCGCCGCGTGTTCAACGGTACCATTCTCTCTGAAATCATAAAAAATTCTATACTGTATCAAGAATTCTCACCATATTTGATAATCCAACGAGACATAGATGAGATGGAATTGTGAGATGTATATCAAAGGTTGCTTTAAAAGACGGCTCGTCCCAACATGGAAAAAACTTCCGTGCTGACGTAGGACACAAATAGGTTACAGCGCAGTTACCATTTTGCCTTTGAAAGATACATATAAATACATAGTTTAAACACTCTGTCTTCATTTATCCATATGTTATATAATTTTCAGGAGCTAAAATTAACAAACAGAGATTGAAATACATTTAAAGATTTTTTTCTAATCAAACAGCTGGACAGAGATATTAGTTTTGTAATTTTTTTTATATATATTCAAAATTATTAACTGTATTCTTACCCACTATATTTGCTTCTATAAAAGCCCTTCATCTTGTCATTGATTTCACCCACGAATTCTATATTCAGGTATCCGCTTTTACCAGATAACAGAGTTTCAGGAAACACCAATGTAGCTGTTTCCTCGGATGACGATAGTTCGATTTTCTCGGCGACAATGCTGTTGCCATCATTTCCATTAAAAGTCGCGCTTTTTATATTAATTTCCAAAGAATTCAATACAATGGTATCCGTAGGAGACAGCACCTGTAATCCGAAAAAAAAAAAAAAAAACCAGATAAGAGAGAATTTTTGCGATTGTCACGTATGTCGCAAAGATAAGCATGAAATATGATTAACGAGAGGGAAAATAATAGATAACATTCGCAAGTACAATCAGAATTCGCGTCACTGTAGAATTAATGAGCAAATTGTCAAAGGATTAAAACCACGATTGCCAGCAATTAGAAGATAAGGCGGTCCGCCTCGATGTTTGCCAATCAAACTCGAATCTAAGTGCTATTCAAACAGAGAAACCGGCGGCGGAGAAGGGATCAGCGGGGGCGTTTCTTGGTTATGTTTCCCATATGGTTAGCGGCCGCTTTGTTCCCCCATCTCGCTTTCGGCTCTTTCATTCGAGGGAAGGACGGTGAGAGTGGCAGCGAGGGAAATTCGCGGGTGGTAGAAAACTCACGTTGAGATGTACGTTCTCCGTGCCGTCGAAGGTGAAGGTGTTGATATGCGGCGTCAACGAGATATCGTAATGATAGGGACGCACGCACAACGGCAGACGGCGAAACGGCTTCTCGTCGCCCGACATCGCTCCGTACGGCTCGCTGACGGCAACTTGACTCGTTTTCCCGCAGTAACGCGCGCCCTGGATCTCACCGTTCCCGACGGTACTCGCTCGTGACAACCGCGACAACAGATTATCGCCAACTCCCTTCTCTTTTTGCTGACTCACAAGGCGACAGCGCACACTTACACGTGCGACGACGCGCGAGAACATCAGCCCAACATGGCCCCACCACCAGAGGCTCCCCAGAACTGCTCCGAAAACAGCTATCGATAGCTCCGCGTCGCTTTCTCGATTACTCCGAAAAGTCGACGTCGAGTATCGATAATGAAGGTCTATTCATACGGTTGCACGTGTGACGTTGACGGGAGTGGACGCTGGCATTCAAGCAGGAAAGCAGCTTTGCAATTGCGTAAAAATTCTTGAACATGATTGGTTTATACATTTAGATTTAGCGAGGAATTGAGGGTAAGACCAATCGCATTAAAGAATTTTACAACAGTTGCAAAGCTGCTTTTACCGCTGAACGCGCCATGTGACAAAAGAGGGGAGCGGAAAAAAAGAGTGGAGACTTTAAAGTTCGAGGAACTTTAAAATTTATATAGAACTTGAAAAGAGAGTTTTGCTAAGAAATATAAAAACTAGGATTGGCGCATTCACAGTCTGTTCTTATCTTAAAACTATCTTAAATAAATACGCGCGCGGCTCTGTAATCAACTTGTATAAATAACATATATCTTAAATAGAACTGATTATCAATGTTGCTCTCTAACTTCAAATTGATAATATTATAGATATCTCAATTAGACGTTGCAGAGAGGAGGATAAAAGATAAAACGTACAAAGGTCGTGTTCCGATATACGTTGCCAGTATTATGAAAATCTATAGTACCTGTAATAAACGTAACATGAACTGTACAGAGATCTTCAGTATCGCGACAGTATTTTTTATTTAATGACGATAATATATCAAAAGACATCACAAACATTCTATCGATCTTCCTTGATATTTAAGTAACAAAAACAAAACTCATAATCTGCTGTCAACTCACGTAAATGAATCCTATATCATTTTTGTGGCATTTCTTTGCCCAGCGTCTGATATAACAGATTCTGCACGAAAATAATAAAATTTGTCACCAGACGTTTTGCAAAATTTATTCGAGCAAACTTGGCTAAAATGGGAAAGTTTGAGCCGCCTGCGAGATGCATTCATACCGTTAAAATATTCGTGATTTAAGAATGTGACAGTTTGATAATCGCGATGTCTATTGAATGATGTATAAAAAAGAAAAACGATTAAGAAAGAATATAATAGAGATTCGAGACAGCGTTGAATCTCTCTTTCTTGTCCAACAGTCGCAATTAATCCTCGCAATGTGCGCGGCGTTCGTTCGGTCTAGTTACTTTTCTCATCCGCGACACGACAAGTACGCGACTGCATATGCGGACTGAAGTACGCACGCGTCCCTGTTCCGGACAACTTCACGCGATACAAGCGAGCGGTCGTCGTTCTAGGTTGCGGTGCACGCGCGTCTCGGCCGAATTCGGCTGTGGCTCGCTCGCGACTTTCGTGTCGTGCGGTGCGAAGGTGGTGGTGGTGGGCAGTACGTATCCGCGAGATAGACTTCCCGAGCGACCGGTCGGCCTCGATCTCAGATGATTCGCCGGAGGTAGTGGTGGTGTGCGCGAGCACCCACTGTCAGCAAGGGTTAAGCGCAAAGTTTGCGGGAGGGTTGACCGAACCTTCGGTGATCCCGTGTGTGTGTGTGTGTGTGTGTGTGGGGTGTGTGAGAGAAGAGGAGAAGAAGTGTCGAAAGGAAAGAGATAGAGCGTGTATGCGTGTGTAAAAGTGCACCGACGACGTGAACTTGCCCCTCTCGTGGAGCGGAAGCGATTCTCCTGGAGGTGGCTCCGAGGATCTCGCTGGCAAATTTGGTGACAGGATATATTCTCGCGGTGGCGCACCGCCGTCGACGTCGTCGTTGTCTGTCATCGTCCGCGGGGACAGCGCGGAGGCGTTTTCATGGCGCGAGGCGACGCGACGGGGATCGTGCGCGCCTCACCGGAATACCAGACGACGACAACCGCACGAGCGACGTGAGAGGGTCGCGCGCTAGGGTGCACGGCGACCCCGGGGGCTCTCGTCGCCGCACACAGGAGCATCGGCCGAGGGAATAACACAACGGTGGCAGCGGCGGCGGCGCGTACCCCACACACGCAGCCGAGTGCGTCACCGCCCATATGTGATGTGTCCCGCGCGCGTGCGAGCGAATGAGTAATCATGTATTGTCAGGACAAGGGCTCGACCGCCTCCAAGAGCAAAGAGGGTAAGTCGGAACACGGGGACGCGGTCCTTTCCAGATTTATATCGCGGCGACGTCCCACGTTTCTCTTCTTTCTTATCGCGGTTCTTTCTTATTTGCCTTCGCACGGTCTTTTTGCGTGTGTGAACGAGGTGAGAAAGATAGATAGAGAGGGAGCGTACGTGTGTGTGTGTGTGTGTGTGTGTGTGTGACAGAAAGAGAGAGAAGACATGAATGAGAGAGAGGTAAAGGGAGTTCCGTTCCAGGATTATGGAGAAGGGAGAGAAGGACCAAGTAGCAACAGCGGTGAGTGCGTTGGAGAGGAGCAAAGAGATAGAAAAAGGGAGAGGGAAAATGAAAATAATAATTCTCTCTCTCTCTCTCTCTGTCTTCGCGCCCCCCCTCCCTTGTATGTGTACGGTATATCGCTTCACCGATGGTAGAAGAGGAACAACAGAGTTCTCCAATTGCAACTCAAGCGAGAAAGAAGCTGAACAATTTTTTCTTTTTTCTGCTTCGCCCGGCTTGATATTCGCGTTGGGAAGTAAACGCGCGCGCTTATCAATTTCAGGATTGAGATCGACACGTATCTCTCTGTATCTTTTTCGAGTTGAACGACGAGTAATACAATGCAACCTTTTGTGTGGCGCGAAGAGAGAGGGAGAGCCGAGACACGTTTTATCTGACACTTGAACATCTTGATCAGAGAGATTCGTTCGGTTATTCGACGTGTGAAACTAATGTATATTAGTTCGTTGAACCCCCCTGTGCTGCAACTGCGGCGATGGCATACCTGTACGCAGAACGTGTGGTCTCGTTACTCGTGTGTGCGTGTGTGTACGTGTGACTGAATGGCGTGTCGTGTGCCGTATACATACGGCAATCTTAAAAGTTTTTGCCGTGTTGGTAAGTGCCCCGTGAGAGTTTGCTTTGTTATGTGGGTTGCTCCAAGAAGAAAAAAATGATAGCTGACTGCTTCAGGCGAATTGATACACATACACTTGAGAAGTGCACACTTAAGAACATGTACTTTCACCTTTAATTGCAGTAAAAATCCATTATCTTCTACGAGTGGATGAGTCATCTATACGTTCTGAGAAGTTGAATTAAATTACTTTGAGTTACGGGACAAAACTGCGTTTAAATTACTCCGTTCGTTGAATGTGTCATTGTGCTTTGACACTTGTAACAAGAAAGAATTTTGCTTTATCTGTATATTGTAATGGTGTGTATTCTACAAAAAAAAAATTGGCAAAATTGTTAACGTTTGTATGACGCAATCATATTCATTTTTTTTATCATGATTGTTTCTTATCATATTGCAATTTCCTGTGATATTAAGTTCCTCGCATTGTCATTTGAGAAAAATGTGATGCATACCTCTATCATCATTAAGGAGCACTGGCATAACACAGCGTATGATGTCATCATAAATGTAATGATCTGTTATATCTAAATTACTCTGATGTTCTTGGCCTTCTGTTATGATGTCATGCTATCTCAACTTACATTCGGTGCATTAAATTGTGTGCTTAAACATTATGTTTGTTACATGCAGGGCCTGTGACAATGCGGGAAAAGAAAGGTGGTGCTCTCAGTAGAGTGCAAAAATTAAAAAAACGCCTTAGTCACAGCTTTGGACGGCTTTGTAAGTATTTCTCATACAGGTAATTATAATACTTTTACACTAATAAAATATATTAGTAGTCACAAAGATTTAAATATTAAACTTTATCTTAATGTTTTTCAATATTAATAAATTTATAATTAATGTGAGGCAAATAATAATTTTTGTAATTATACGGCATGATGTTTTATTATTGATTATTATTGATATTGCAAATATTATAATATTAAAAATTTCAAGATTGAATAAAATAGTTTGATCTAGTTAAATGATGAATCGTTAATTAGACATAATTATAAATATTATACATTTAAATATTATTTATTTGATATTATTACAGCTATATCAAAAGAAGAGGCTGATGATGTAGCAACGAGAGGTCAATTGCCATATAATGGTTATTCTGAGGAGTTCCTAGACCGTTTGGAGCCAAATGGCAATATACCTGCAGACAAAGATCGTCGTTATGGTGAGCTTTATCCCAAAAACATAAATATATATTATTGGTTTTATAATATTTTTTATAAATGTAGTTTGATGTTGGTCTAGATGTAATACATTTATATATTTTTTTTAAGAGAGACGAAAACAGAAAATTTAATTTATACTTTTTATTGTAAAGTATAAATTTACTTTATGTACACATTTTATAAAGTTATGTGTTAATACATTTTTATTTATAAGAATGCACTCATTCACACATACTCTTTTTTTTTACTACTTAAAGTACTAAAACATTTGTTAATGATCAAATACGTATTGGTATTTTTCTGCGTAGTATGCATAGTTGAAATTATGCATATGTAGGAATAGTTATCCCGCGATTGTTTAATTAAATGAATAAATAAATATATCCAAAATTTTATAAAAATCTGTGATTTTATGTAGTTTTATTGCTGTTATTTTAAGAATGTTTTCGGAAATTGGACTGTCATAGAATGGACAGGTGTGGGCGACCATGAGAGAGTGCATCGACAGCTTTCGGTTTCTAGCGATTCGAAGCTTCTCGATGAAGATATACGAGAGGAAGCTAGGGTAATTCTGCGGCCCCGACGTCCACCGCGGCCCAAATCTGAAGTTTTCCTTGGTCCAGAACCTAGAAGAACTAAAAGATTCTCCGCTTTTGGGGTAATATATTATATTACGTATATATACTCATTTGTATTTATTAATTTTCTAGCAAAATACTATAGTACACTAATCTCAATTTGTCTCGGCAGGGAGACTCACCATTCGGTAAATCCGAAGCTTACATAAAACTGGAGCAGTTGGGCGAGGGATCATATGCCACAGTGTTCAAAGGCTACAGCCATCTCACTAATCAAGTGGTGGCTCTTAAAGAAATTAGACTGCAAGAGGAAGAAGGAGCTCCGTTTACTGCCATTCGCGAGGCAAGTCTCCTCAAAGAGTTAAAACATAGCAATATCGTGACTTTACACGATATCATTCATACTCGTGAGACGCTCACCTTTGTGTTTGAATACGTTCATACCGATCTATCGCAATATATGGAGAGGTATTTCGGAAACGGAGGATTGGATCCACGTAACGTTAAATTGTTTCTTTTTCAATTGTTGAGAGGACTGGCATATTGTCACCGCAGGTAATTAAAAGTTTATAGTACGTAATATCGATGTCTTTATCTTAATACGCGTTGATTAATTTGTATTACTGCATACTTTAGGAGGGTTCTGCACAGAGATGTTAAGCCACAGAATTTATTAATCAGCGAAATAGGAGAACTTAAATTGGCAGACTTTGGGCTAGCAAGGGCCAAATCCGTGCCATCGCATACATACTCACACGAAGTCGTGACCTTATGGTACAGACCGCCCGATGTTCTTTTAGGTTCCACAGAATATTCCACCTCGCTCGACATGTGGGGAGTAGGTTGCATATTTGTGGAAATGTTAACCGGCGAACCGACATTCCCAGGTGTACGCTGTACGTACGACCAACTCGATAAGATATTTAAAGTGCTGGGCACACCTACCGAGGAGACTTGGCCAGGTGTCACGCATCTACCCGGGTATAAAGCGCATAGACTGATATTTTATCCGCCGCGGAAACTGGGACTCTCGTTTCCTCGGCTTTACGATATCGCCGAGGGCGATAGTATGGCGTCGTCGCTCCTGCAGCTGAATCCCGATCAACGGATAGGTGCGGAAGAAGCGTTACATCATCCATATTTTGCCTCTCTTCCTAGGAAATTATATGAATTACCTGATGGTAAGATTTTCGTAAAATTCCGCACAATACGTTGTCGTGAAATATGTACGTCTCATGTGATCAATCTATTGATTCTGTTACAGAAGTGTCGATATTCAGCGTTGAAGGTTGTCACTTGTATACAAACTCGAGGCACGGGTGCGCGGATTCGCGTCACACGACTCTTAAGACTTGAGGTTAAAGCAAACGTTAAATGAGTAAATTATAAGTAAATTCGCAATTTACACGTTGAGTGAAATATTCATTCTCATGAGATTCATATGTGTGTGGATACACACACATGTATACACACATACACACACATACATACACACACACACACATACATACATACACACACACACACACACACACACACACACAGACATAACAGATACACAGGCGCACATGCACTATTCCCAGATGCGTTGTTCGCTCTCTCTCAGGGCTGCTCCATGATTTCCGCCACTATTCTTTTCACACAAATGCAATAATAATATTCTTTTCTCCTTCTTTTTTAAGAATATACGTATCGAGTAAATTAATTATTAACGAAGATAAATCGTAATTCTGGTCAAGGAAACAAGAAAGTAAAGCTTATGGCTACAAGTTAAAAAAAAAAAAGATTATAAGAATTTGCGCACGCTCGATTTAGGAAGCAAAAGCACGCACGACCCATCCTCGCACTTCGTCCAAATACTAGATTTAGATCGATACCAATCAAAAAGAAAGATACCATACCGCCGCCCTGCGTCTCCCCGATCCCAACCCAAGCCAAGTAGGGCGGACGGTCGCTGGTTAGCAAAACTATTTACGAAATAATTACTACTTACCTTAGAAAAATTATGGAAGACCTGTAGCACTTTATATAAATGAATTTTATTGCTGTTTCAAATACGATGTTGGTCGCTAGGCAGTTGAGAATATTGATAGATAAGATAGGGAACCGTTGTTCGAATTAAATTTATTGTTAGCCGTGATGATAGCGTGTAAGGTATAGAAGTTTAGGGGGGAGGGGTATTATAAAAAAACAACGTGTCAGTATTAGTCAAGTGCCATAGTAGCCAACATCGCGAGATACAGTGAGAGAAACTAATTGAACGCTCATCGTTAATAATACCCGATTGTAGTGATTTAGACGTAAGTGATTAGCATTAGGTCGTATTTAATATCACAATCGAAGTTTATCGACAATGTTGCAACGTAGCGTAAATGATAGTAAATCGAGACAGAAAGAAAGAGTGAATGAGAAAAAAAAAAGAGAAATGAAGTAGTGATTTTAGACTTGTCGAAATTTCATTTGTTCAATTTCCTTTTAATTATTATTGACATTAGCCAAATATGGTGCTCGAGCTGTAAACTGTGACATGTACAATCGACCTCGTACTCGTGATATAATTATTTAACGAGTATCCGTTCGATTTTTTAAAAATTACCGGATATAAAATAGCGTTGGCAATAGTAGAAATAGGAAAATATAAAGAAGAAGAAAAAACGGCGTTACAGTTCTTCCAAATTTTGTCTAAGCTACAATTGACGATTTTTGCGGTAAATATTACTCCTTTTCGTAGGTTACATTTATACCGATTTTTCAGCACACTTATTAAAAAAAGAAAAATATATCAACGAGGTGAAAGTAAAAGAAGGGAGAGGGAGTTTCGAAAAGATTTGAAAGATGCTATTATTATTACTACCGATTATTGCGTTTATTTCGGTAGATTGTATATAGAATTACCAGATTCGTATTATCGATGATGCTGAAACAGCTAAATCGAGATAATAAATGTGACTTCGTAAGAAATTCAAATGTATGGTAATCTGGACCCTGTTCATCCTTAACCCGGCAGTGGTACCACAGGGCTACGCAAAAAAGCCTGCAAAAAAAGAATTTGCATCTCAATGCGAAAATTACATTTCGGTACGAGTTATGATCACTTTACGGAAGTGCATATTTAAACTACTCTTTGAACTGAAACGCCAAATACTGTTAAAACAAAGTTATACTTATTCATCTATTACAAAAAATACACTTATAAAGATTTATTTTTACATTTATGAAAAAAATATATCAGTAAGTCATAATAAATCCTGTAACGAAAATGCGTATTGAACATTGAAAATGTTGCATCTTATTTTTGCAACTCGCGTGATAGAATATGTGCAAGAAAAAATTTTTTTCATGGTATATTTGAATAAAAATTTTATTTTTTTATCTAATTTCTTTTATCAGAAATGTTTTCTTTATTGTAAACAGATTGCACAGTCCCAATAAATTCCTTCATTATCTTGGCATTACTACTGTTATCATTCGGAATATCATCTTTTATTGAAGTTAAATATACGTAATGTAAAATTAAGTTTTAGAAGTTTACGTTATGATTCTTTATTTCTTATTCTGCCATCTTAGTGAAAAGCAAGCATTTGTAGAATGAATTAAGTAGGTAGATATTGTAATCATAAGTATAATTTTTTATGTTCACGGAATTCCGAGATATATTCCGGTGAATTGTTTTTTAGGAAGCGATGCTAATACTTTTTTACTCTAATGTGAAATTTGTAACAAACTTATCCCATCCTATGGATGGTAACTTCGAATTTTGTTTCTAGAAAGAAATATTCGAACATTTCATGTATATATTTACGTGTAAACACCAACTCGTTTACATCGATCTCAATAAATATAAAAAGAACACAGAAAGGAAAAAATTGAAGTGTCGCAACTCTTTTTTATATATAAAATATTTTTTTCTTATTCATATTTTGTACATCTCAAAAGTACATTTAAATATTTTTAACTGAATTTTTTATTCTCTTAGTTTAACTATATTTATTTGATTTTTTTATTTATTAAATATTAAAATTACACATAATACTCCAAAAATAGTTACATTACAAGTTCAAAACTAGATTGACTTTTAAAAATAACAAATACTAAAGCGAAAATTACAAATGCAAAAATCGATTTTGTATAAGTTTTGTTATATTTATTTTTATGTACATAATATTTATGTCTTTTATGTGCACGTATAAGGTATATGTGCTTTTTATATTCTAATATAGTTATTTTGAAATGAAGTTTGTTTTTAATTCTATATACTCTTGGGGGTGTATTTATTAAATTTTTCAAAAGTTACTTATTTAATTTTTAATTAATATTTTGAATAATAAATAATTTTGTCAAACATTGACGCAATCTTCTACAAAACAAACAATTTATATATATAAAATATATATATATATATATATATACACATACCTAAAAACTTTATCATGTTAATTGTAGACAAATTTACCACTGCCGAGTTAAAAACGCCTACCATACATAACGCGTTCCGTTTAATTTTCTAAAAATAAAAGTTTTTGTAGCCTTATTATGTACTTACGTTGTTTAAGCATCCGATTTTGTATCTCTTCCGGTTTTCAATTGTATATTTTATTTGTAAATTTTTTATATAAGAGAAATCGCGAATATTATCGAAACCGCTACGGAATTGCGTATCGGAAAAATAAAAAAAAAAGAAGACATTGTTTTTACGCATAGATTTTACGTTCGAAAGTGGACATTCTTGGACACCTCGCGTCGTTATGAATATGTGATATTACATATATCTGACGATTAGACCGATTGATAATGAGATCGATTCCGATTTTATTCGGAAGCAAGTTGAACGTATTGTGCCTGTGCTACAAATATTTGAAATAATAAAGATACAACTCTCGCTATATATATATATTATATATATTGCTTCCTATTTTTACATTTATTTTCGAAACGCATGGCATAATGTTTTTGATAATTTACCTTGACAATATTACAAATATATTAATTTTAAGAACTTTGTATACAAAACTGTTTCAGGTTTACATAGGACAATTACAAATTTGGAAATAATTTGTATTTGCAAAATAGAATGTTGAAAGTCGAAATAGCCATCTGTCAAAAGATATTTTAAGAAAAGTATCTGTTACAAATATATAATCAACAGAATGTCACCAGAATACAATATAGAATCTGCTAACAGAATATGATGGCAGATTATATCAGCAAACATCAAATGAAATCTACGGAATATACTCCATTAATTTAATTATGGCAGATTCTTCTTAATTTCTACTGGTAATCTGCTGTCAGATTACAATGATAAAACACGAGCTCAATACTGAATAAAGACAGAGGATTAAATTACATTAAAAATAAAGTATATATTAGAATAATGCATAGTATTAATTAAAGTAAACAAGAAGAAAAGAGTTATGGATGAAAATATAATAGTATTATTGCTGTTAGCTGTATTAATACAACTAATAGTATTAATGTACAGCACTGGAACAAAGGTAGAACAAGAATCTTTGAGTTATTTTATTTGAAATTATAGTTGAAGTTCAATTATTTATTTTTTTCCCTTTCAATTCATCTATCTTTCTTTTAAATGTAAATTATTGAAATTCTCATAATTGCCGCGTGTATGTATAATTATGTATTAAGAAATTAAAAAAGAATTTCTATAATTTTGGGGCCACAGTGACACCCTTTTTACCCACGCTAGGTACTTCACTGATGCGCCGTTCACCGCGCACGCGCAGAAAATCCAATTCTCACGACGCTGCGTGATTGGTCGATCAGCAGAACGCAGACTTCACGGAGTTTTACGAACGCAGGACAGCGTCTTCGTCTGCCTCATTTATCGGCAGCGTGGAAAAGAGAAAATCAGTTTAGCCATGGGCGCTACAGTGCGTCGTGAGTTCTTGTCGTGTGCCTTGTCTGTACCTGCCAACGATGCGCTCTGTGCATACGCGTGATCGCGCGACGGATCATGTCCAGGAGCGTTCTTCACGCGCCTTGTTCAATTAGGGTCACTTGATAAATCGAACGATCGGTGGCGAACGCGAAGGCAAAGACGGCGGAAAGGCCACGACAAATTTTCCTCTCGAAAAGGTAAGTGCGGCAAGCGTACCTTCTTTTCTCTTCACCGCCCTTACGGTTTTTTTATTTTTTTTTTTTGGTTTCCTCGCTGACTCGAGACGCCGACGATGACATCATCTCGATCCTGGATAATAAATTTCCGTGGAGTGTCAATTGATGGATCCTGGGAGTAAATCTGAATATCGGTGTTACTTTTTCCCTAGGGCGGAAATGTGAAAAGCAAAAATGTTTTGCGTGTGCATGTGTGGTAATACATGTAACGTATTCACGTATATGTACGTGTAAAAAATTTTTACTTTTCACGCTTTCCGTTCTAGAGAAAAAGTTACATGATCGGTACCCTGGAGATAATCGGAGATCATTGATATTATCGACCACTTTTCGTTCAGTAAAAACATGTATGTGGGTGTGTACGTGTATAACTTATAGTTTATACTGTACGTATATATAGGATACATTTGGCTATATGTATCCTGCGAAACGCCCGAAGGATTGTAAATTAATTACGCATTACAGACCAAATGTCCGGCTATTCATATCGGGACACTGAAACGGTCAGCGTTCTTCTATTATCTTCGAGCTCGTTTTTAGTCGAGAAAATTTTTACTCAGAACCGGCTATTTCTTTCGCTGCAAAATAGGCCTTTTTTTTTTTTTTTAGTTGAACCTCTTTGTTCACAGTTCATCTTTCCCTCTTTTCTCTTCGCGTGGACTTTCTGATGTTCAGTTAAAAAAATCTAATCGGTACCCTCAAAGATTCCTTGGATTTGCGACCCATGATTATGCTTTTTCTTTTTAACCGAACCTCTTACACAGTTAATCTTTTCTTCTTTTCTGTCAGAAAAAAGATGAACCGTGAAAATTGTTCAAAGGACAGATCTAATGTAATCCTATTATAACATAAAAGGTATCTTGATTTGCAACGCATGATTAGAACTGACAGTCAATTGTGTATCTTGAAACGAGATGAAAATTACAAAAGTGAGCAAATTTAGGAGAATATCTGGAAGATACGGTAGTGTCTCAGCTTCACAATTTCATTCGTCACAGCATCTAATAAATTTGTTCACTTTTGTAATTTTTATCTGGTCTCAAGATATATACAATCGACTTCCTGTTGTTTCCAGTTAAAGTTCTTGCACGGTTTACTTTTCTTTTCTCTCTTGAATAGAAAAAAAAGGTAAACTACAGTTGTACAAGTTCAATTAAAGTTTCAACTAATGAGACAAGTCTATTCTCTTCCGCGCGATGAATCATGTAGCTTTCTTGCCGTTCCGCTTGTGATTCATATTTGTTTCCTTTTTTCCTTCCCCCCTATTATCAGATTCATAGCAAATGGATATAAGGAGATTGCTTTAGTCTGCTGTAAAAGTCTGCTGACTTTCGGAGCGTACATCACGTACATGTGTATTGCGCGCGATTTCTCGTCGTCCTCGTCCTCGATCATAAGAGCGTCAGATAAGAGAGTTCCTTCCTGTATCGAGGACGTTTTTCGCGCTCCGATAATCGTCTGAAATTCGCATGATAAACAAAGACCGCGGAGGAAAAAGTGAATTGAAATTCATTGATTTCTCACACCGTGATAAGTTTTTCATCAACTTTCAATATCTCTCGAGTACCGGGGGAGGACAAATTTCTCCCGTCATCCGACGTTTCTCGTATTTACTTTCTCGTCTGTGTCAGTTAATTTGTATTGTACTTGACATTATGTTGATTGTGACCAGAAAGATACTTTCGAATAATATGTATTAATACTTTGGCGTTGTAATAAATTGTTCAATTTGTTACGATGTTCTTCACACTTGCGTATCTATAGATTCAGACGGTTATAAAAATAAGTGTGTATTATTAGAAGCTTCTTGCGGAGAATATTTTTAGGCAATGCACACATGATATATTCTGCTAACGTTTATTTTTTTTATGTTTTCAGGTGTACACAGATATCATGGGTCGTTATACAGGAAAGAAATGTCGTCTTTTGACAATGTTATGGCTGACAGCTTTATTTTTTTTAGTCGAAATCGTAGTTGGTTACGTCACCAATTCGATGGCTTTAATAGCAGATAGTTTTCATATGTTGTCAGACGTAGCCGCTTTAGTGGTAGCGTTTCTTTCTGTGAAGGTAAGTTCTACAGTTTATTTTGAATTTTAGATCTGTTTCTTTTAGCAGGGTTGCCACAAGTCAGGGAAATCAGGGAAATGTCAGGGCATTTGAAAAATGCGTCAGTAAATCAGGGAAAGTCAGGGATTTCAGCGCACTTTTCGGGAAAAATAACATAGCTGTAAAGAAATTTATTTATATCACGACGCCACAATCGATAAAATCATTTCGCTTTGTTCTTCAAGCCAACTCGGTTGCTAAAAAAAGATCTTTGTTTACAAAAATTTCAAAATTGAAGACTAAGAAGGCAAAACTTATGTCACTTATGAACAAGTGAGTAAAATAAATATTATTCTATAATTTTATGATTTTTCTTTCAAATATGTTAACTTTTATAAGCAGATTGAGATTTTAATAAACAGATCATAATTTTGATAAAAAAGAAACTGTATTCATTGATTTATGTTCCTTATATTTTAAGTATAGTAGTAAAAAGAAAGAGAGGAAGAGGAAAAGAATCATGTTCATACATGAAAGGAAAAGACAAAAAGTACTATTAATTTAACGATAAAATGTAGTATCAGCAACATTAATAGTATTATTTATTAATAGTATTATATTATAACATTAATTTAATTACACTGTTATGTTAAATTACTCGATCAACAAAATATTTAACAATTTTCAAATCAGGATGAAAATACAAAAAATATTTCAAAATATTTATTATTGAAAGTCAGGGAAAATTACAAAATTTTGTCAGTAAAATCAGGAAAATGTCAGGAAATTTTAGGATGAAAAATTTGTGGCAACCCTGTTTAGCTCAACCTCCCCTTGCCCGGTTTATGTTCTTTTCTTTTCCTCTCCACAAACGTGTTTGTATTTCCATTCTGTTTGTTTCTCAGGTATTATATTATCTTTGTTTACCATTTAGTGAACAACAAACATAAAATGATCCTTGGGTGGCACTTGTGAGTGAGAATGTAAACTTAGCCCAATGTAAAAAGAGAAAAGATGCAAGAAGCTAAAGAACAGATCTCTTATTGGAAAATTCTATTCTTAATATTTTGTCGTATTTAATATTGTTACTTACAAACAATTTTTGATGTTGTAGATGTCACCGAAGAAATGGTCCAAAAACACATTCGGCTGGGCCAGAGCTGAAGTATTGGGAGCTTTAGTGAACGCTGTATTCTTGGTCGCTTTATGTTTTAGTATTACTGTGGAAGCATGTAAAAGATTTATTGAGGTAGAAGAGATACATGAAGCTAAACTGTTGGTCGGAGTTGGGGCACTTGGTCTGTTGGTGAATGTGATAGGTTTATGTTTATTCCATGGTGAGTATCGCACAACTCAATGTGTATCATGCAACTCAAGTTTTATTTATTTTGATAAAATTTAAACTTTTTGAGAAGTATATAAATATTATATTTATTTTTATATATTGACATTTGTCCTCGTTTTAAAGGGTCTCTAAAATTGTCCTATTATTATGTGTAAAATCATAAAGACTGCTTATATTAGATATATTTGTATATTAATACAGAAGAATATACTTATACAGAAATTTATATTTCCATTTTTACTTTCTCTTTCTGTTAGATAATATTTGTAAAGCACTTTATTTATATTTCATATCTTAATTATCATCTTTCGTATCTAACCATATGATATCTTAATTATGATTATGGATAACAATATTGTATATTCAAATTGCTGTTTGTCTATAAGATTCTTTGTTCAATACTGTCGTGATATTATCTTATTATTAGTGCTCGAAAGATTTTATCTTGAGTTAAGATAAAGAAATTGATTATGAATTGTTAGCAAATGTATTAACGCAGCAAGATTTAAGATACAAAGCTTTTGCAAATATAAAACAGAAATAAAATTCTTGTAAAATTGCTGGATTTATATCTCGAGATACAGATTGTAAAGAGAGAAAAGTTTAAGTATTATATACAATATAAATGTTAAAAGTTTGTTAAAGAAGAAAAGCAATAATATTTGCTTCGTCATCTTATTGATGTTGAACTGTAACCGAGTGTTTGAAAAATATTCAATTTTGAAAAATGAATGTTGATGATAAAAAGAAAAGTTTATTATTTAACATATTTCATGACACATTTGAAAAATAGTTAATATTTCTTAATCTTAATTAATCGATGGATTAATTTAATTGGTCTTAATTTTTACGTCTTATATCTTATATAATAAGATAAAAGTAATCTATTTTATATCGATAGATATTTATAAGTGCAATTATTGTAGAACATGGAAGTGCTCATGGTCACTCGCATGGTATATCTCGAAGTCATAATAGACTAAGCACTTTGGTAGGCACAGACGATAACGAAAATGACGAAGCTTATAGACCTTCGACACCCCAAGTAAAACGAGCGCATGGCCATTCACACGATGCAAGTCAGATGAATATGCGAGGGGTATTTCTTCATGTACTTTCCGATGCGTTGGGGTCTGTCATTGTAATTGTGTCTGCTCTAATTGTGTGGTTAACGAAGTGGAAGTATAGGTAATTATATATTGTATATTACTATACATTCTATATAGATACTGAAGAATTTTGAATATATAATTAAACTTTTTTTTTTTACATAGATTCTACATTGATCCTGCACTGTCGCTTTTATTAGTCATTCTTATTCTACGTTCGGTGTGGCCGTTACTTCAAGAATCAGCTTTAATTTTATTGCAAACTGTGCCAACACATATTCAGGTAATATTTGTTAGCTTGTATAATGCAGTATAATGCAGTACATAACACAATTTTAAAGTACATGATATATACATTATCTAATTTGTAAATCTATTTGTATAGGTCGATGCTATACAGCAACGTTTGTTGGAGAACGTAGATGGCGTATTAGCTGTACACGAGTTTCATGTATGGCAATTGGCAGGTGATCGTATTATAGCAAGTGCGCATATAAGATGTAGAAATCTTTCAGAATATATGAAAATTGCCGAACAAGTTAAGGAATTTTTCCATAACGAGGGTATACATTCAACGACTATTCAACCAGAATTTATTGACGTAAGTAGACATATACACACACACACACACACACACACACACACACACACATATATATATATATGTAGGAGAGAATGTCCTAAATTGTACCTTTTTAATTTAAATAAATACAGTTAAGCAGATTTGCATGCTACTTATAACGTAAAGTTCTTATAAGACACCGAACATGTGGTAGCAGTTTGGCAGTACTCTTATCATGTTCATAAAATAGATGCAAATATGTATTTTCGGCTATCATACGAAAATTCTTTTAAAAAAGAAAATCCTTGTAAATTCTTATTTAAAAGATGTTAAAAATTTGAACAATAATTGATTTGAGAGATAAAGAATTAAAAAATTCAGAGTTTTGTGATTATTTTTGCGGTTTATTATAAAATTTGTTCCAATAGTTCAAAAGAACCCGTGTCCAAATCGGACTTCTCTTTGGGTATCCAAATCGGACCTATACAAAAAACATTAAAAAGATGATTAAGGCAGCTAATTCATCGAAGAAAGAAGGTTTATCACAACTTGTTTATAGTACTGATGATCGACCGATCAGATCTGATCTAAAGAACATTAAATCAATAAAATATCATGTGTAATCAGACTTAGATTTGAAGGAATTTTTTATTGATTTTAATTCTAATAATATAAACTGTATTTTTATCTTTGAGTCTTAAATTGCTCGTTTTTACTCAATACTGAAATATATTTTAAAATTCTATCTAAAAGTCCATAAAAATAGAAGAATTATGAGTTCCAAATCGGACCGGAAAATGCATTTTTACATTTTCCATTATAGTTCGACACAGGAGAGATACGTTAAACTGATCTGAAGCAAAAATAAAGGAAATTAAATGATCTTTCGAACGGCACCATTGGTTTTATGATCGGACTTTATTTACGCCTTATAGAAAACAGAAACTGCAAATAGGTCCGATTGAAACCACTTTCCCCTATATAGTAGTATTATAAAAAGTTTATTCAAGTACGTATGCCAAACAAGACAGAATTAGACAGTAAATTTGTACAAAAAAAAAACTAGGTGAAAATGCACGTAATTTGTCATTCCGAGAAATATATTTTTTAATGTTTTTTATCTTCGTTTGTAAGTTATAATAAAAAAAGTCTATCTCTTTGTGAGTCACATGTACATTTAATGCGAAATTAACGATCTTTTGTTCAAAGTTAATGATGCATAAGATGAATGTTCAAACTATCCACGACTCACTCATTGTCAGATAAACGACATTTCAATCACAGCTTATGATTGATCCTAATTTGAATACTATTGTTGTTAAATATTTTTATTAAAATATATTTCTTTCTATTATTCTAGTATCATTCTAATAGCGAAATTAAAGAGACTCCTACGGAAGATTGCGTGTTGGATTGTCCAAAGACTGATAAGCCGTGCAATCACGCGACGTGCTGTGGTCCTTCCAAACAAGTAAGTGACATAAATTTTGTGTCCTTCATCATTCATCATTCGTATATTCTTCGGTTTCTTAGTACGGCATGGAAAGAGATGTAAGTCCTCCATCTGTATACCCTAGTTCAAAGTACGTCGGACGAAGCTTAGATGGAATAAAATCAGAATCAAATATGACTATAGATCGCGATAGTTCATCTACTACATCTGGGAACCTAAATTCTGTACTTCATCCATTTGAAAGTACAGTTATATCTTAGTGAAAGAAAAAAAAGCATTGTGTATGCTTCAACTTTGATTTTAATTGTTTGAAAAGTTAACTAGCTATTTTACATTCAAATTTTAATTATTTATTTAAATCTAAATTCAAAACCAGAACAAGATTGATATCGTCAACAAAATCAAAATTGTAGGTAAACTTTTATTTTTATATTTGTGTTTGTTTAACAAGATAAAAATTTAAAAAAAGAGAATTGTTATACGTATTTATTAATACACAATTATGACAAACATCGCTTGTAAATCGTAAAAATTAATTTTTTCACGTTTTATTTTGTCGATTAGTCTTACTGATAAGATTTGGAAAGATTTATATAGACTACATAAGTTATATAACTAAAAGAATTTATATAACTTATATAATACAGGGTCGTGAGACTCCTTCACCTGGAGAGACGCCGTACATGTGTAGACAGCGTAACAGCTTGGCACGTTCGACCGGCTCTATAGGAGGAACGGAGCAGCAAGAAGTGAATGAGATGGAACGCGGACACTTGTTATCACTGCCCGCTTCGCATCCGACATCGTTTCACTCCGTCCAAGTTCCCCACACTCACGTTAATGCACCAACTGTCTAAGCTCTCATTGCATTATCAAATATATCTACCTCTATAGTAAAATACGCGAGTTGCGTCACGATTTATTGTACAAATGTACAATAAATATATATCTATATAAATTCATTAATGTTACAGTTGATGGCAGTGGTTGAATGACATACTATGACAATTGCTTAGAATTGATAAATTAATACATTCATGAAATCTTACAAATTAAAATTTATTCAATTTTTTTCCTTTCTGAAGTAATTTAGTAAATAAATCTGTCAATTCTTCATCTTTGCCATCAATTTACTTAGAGTAAATAATTAAGATACTTGATAAAAAATTTAAACCCAAAGGTATATTAATATCAAATATATTACGTTATATACGCTCTATATGCTCTAATATAAATAAAAAAATTTTTACTAGAAATTTCTTAGAAAAAATTTCAAAATTATAAGATTTTGCGACTGACGCATAATTTATCGCATAAAATATGTAATCTAAGTTAAGTATTTTTAAAAATCTCATTTGTATATTGATTTGACAGTGCGGTTTTATAAGAATCCCACTTTGCGAAACTCTATTTATATATATATATATATATATATAATTTTTATTGCGTCAATTGTAAAACGTAATTTATAAGATAAAACGCAAATTTATAAGCAAGAGTACCAAATTTCTTCGTTACGTTTATATATTCTTTCCTCCATATAATTCTTAAATATTAAGCTTGTATATTTTTTATGTATTTTTCTTATAGATAAGCAATTATAAAAGAAACGTACAAGATGTGTATTGTTTTTTATTGCATAATATTTATGTACGATATCTGCGATTTTAAGAAATGCTATGATAATTATCTCGAAAGATATTTTATATTAATGTTCATTTATAATTTATTACACACAAATTTGTTTACACGATTTAATTTGACGTAACGAATACATATAATTTTATTGTTTAATTTTTTTGAGATACTGTGTTGTATATTTTCAAGAGTTATGTCAAATTTTGCTGGATCCAACCAAGGGAAGAAATCACATCAGCGTACACACCAGGAACTCCTTGATTTGCGCAGCCTATTCCCCACGACACTATCCCAAAAACGCTATACTGACCGTTACTACTTTGACATACCAACGGTGAACCGCCATCGCCCTTTAAAGAAAATTCATAGTGATATATTGTTAGAATTAATGAATATGTTAAATTATTGAAAATAATTTTATGATCCAGATTGCCATGCAATATTCATTACTTCACAAGAGGTAATATTTTATATTTCTTACAGTGCACGCGTCTTTGCCTCCTATCCCTCCTGCGCACATGAAACTGTCGTCCAGGATAAAGTTGGCACCTAATCTGGTTTGTCGAAGGGCATTTTGACAATTCGCATGACTCACCACAGACACGTCTACTTCTTTTAGAGTAGATTGTTCGTTTCCGTTAAAGGTGTTCTTTCCCCAACCTGTTACCCAACATCTTCAACATAGTGAAAATGAAATATTGTGTAATCGCGGCGTATTCCTTATGAAATTATAATATGTATGGGACATTTAGACAGAGTTTTAATAATAATTTTAAACCAAATATATCGATTATACGTACTTTCTTCCTGCCCCAACTACAGCAGATGGTAGACACACCGTATTAACATTAGGAGCACTTGTAATAGGAGCAGCCGCACCTAGTTTAAGCACTGCTACATCATAGTGGAAGTTTGTCAAATCATAGTAAGGGTGGATGGCAATTTTCGAAATGGGGAGTATTGTTGGATCATAAGGATTTTGTTGAAAACTCCACATACCTAACGCCGCGATAATCTCATCAGGGCTATAACACGTTTTTAATATACATATATGAATAATAAGATCAAAAATTCATATCATATTATAGTGTTTCAAAGATTGATTCCTTTGAAGGTTTATAAAAAAAAAGATTGTTGTAAGGCCCGATTGCACCAATAAAACCGAAAAAGAGGAAAGGATAGAGATTTTAAGCCTCGTTTAAAGCCAAAGTAATGTTGATGTAACCGGGCCTAAGAAGCATATATTCCTCCAAAATTTAATTTTATAATTTAATATTAAATTAAAAAATTTAACTTACTCGTAAGGTGCCACTTTATGAGAGGCGGTAAGAACATGTCTTGCAGTTATAAGCGCTCCTGCTCCGATATAATTAGAGTTTTCATCCAAAATGGCCACCATCCAAGGATATGCACCATAAGCGGCTTGTCCCACTGGATGCGCGCCAGGTGGAACTTTTGAAACACCACAACCAGAATTTGAAGAACCCGTTGTACAGCATGCCACGTATCCAGTAGAGCAAGTTGTTCCCTATAAAAGTATAAAATTGCAATTAATATAATAATATATTGATATACAATGATTGTTAGATAGACTTATGTAAAAATAATAATAATTTACTTTTTTTCGTACAAAATTTATATGTAGAATAGATAATTCTAATTTTTTACAAATATATATAAATATTTCAAATAAGTTATATCAATATAGTATTTTTTTCAATGCAAACTAAAAATATTACCGAATTCACTATTCTGGGGTCAAGACCACCAGTAGTGCCGCTGGGACACCTAGTTCCAGGATAGCAATCACAATCTATAGAAAACAATATAAAATCAGAAAACATTGATATAACTTAAAAACTAAATATGTTATAAAATACGAAATTTGTTTTTCTATTTATAAATCTTTGATACTATTTAAACGACTATAAAATCTTTCAGGTGTATCATTAATATTTTTCGTACAATTAATTTTTTCATTATCCCTATGTAATTTTTTATTATTAGATTTTATAACTTATGGTTAATTTCACATTCTCAAGTTTTTATAGCAACAATATTGCTTATTTGCAAGACCTAACTAAAAATTATCATTTTTTTCAGTTGCTTACAAAAAATTGAAAATATAAAGAAAAAAAGACATACTTTTATTCCTTTACAATCAGTTATTTTACCAAAATTGCATTTTAAAGTCATTACAACATTTTTATTTTAAAACATTCAAGCTCGTTTTTTTTTTAATTTGACTTAAATAGTCCCGTTATGACAAATAAGCGGTATATATTCAATAATGCATACCTTGTGCAAAAACAAACCTATGCAGCAATAGCTGACAGCACGATAGTACAAACAGTAAGACGTTATTCATTTTGAAAGTCTGAGATCAAAGAGAGAATAAATTACACATAGTATACACTCTTGTCAATGAAACTAACTCACGACAAATAAAACACGGGATTCAACTTACGGTATTTATATATACGTAATATATATACACACATAAATGCAGCGCGTTGCGAGAAGCGGTACAACATTTCCGTTTTTCATAACTTCAGGGGAACATATTATCTTGTGCATCCAGCCGGGGACGAGATATAATACCTGACCTTTCATGGCGTGCTAGAAACGACACTAAGGGGCTTTCCAGAACTATCACTGTAAAATATCTGATACTGCGTGAAAAAAATATACGAGCAAATTGTTTCCGATTATAATTACGTGTAATAATCCAAATCACGTGCGCACTAGTAACTCAGCGCTCAGCAGTATTTCCAGAGGATTGAAACAGCCGCGCATCCATTTGACGCGGAGAGAAGGCCATCCTCATTTCATTGACAATTAAACAATGAAGGTCAATAAATAAGAGTTACTGGTGCGAGCAGATCAAGAATCACGCATCGTTGATCTCATTCAATATTATGTATTAAAATACATTGTCATAAGAAAACATTGTTCCACAAACGGTGATATAACAATTTGTCCTATTTGATACTTACGATAAAAAGGCTGTTACATGAATGATGGATGTTACAACATAGAATCATTATAAGTGAGTCACAAAAAACTGATACAGTCTTAAAGAGAAAACATTAAAATTTATTAAGTTAAAAATTTATTAAATTATTTAGTTTTAAAAAATTCAGCTTGATAAAAATAAAAATATACATTAATATATAAAATATACATTAAAGTCATTTATCTGTCATATGATAAAATTATTTAAATTGTGTAAAATTGTAACAGAAATCAAGAAAATTCGTCAAAATCTCGAGGAGTGAATAGATACTTGAAGAATATAGTTGTCCTCTTTTTTGTTTCACGCTTACGTGCTAGAGTTAATTAGAACGCTAATAAATTAATTAGAGCGAATTAATGGAAAGAAAAAATGACTTTTTTATATGACCTTCATATAATTTATTTTTGTAAATTAATGAAATAAAATATACACTGAACGATTACAAACACCATTGCTTGAATTTTCATCCCAAAACAATATATAATAATAGATAAAAGTACAAAAATAACATAAGTCCTTCTCGATAATCTTCCAATTAGTAATAAATTGGAAGATAGGCTTAGATTATGCTGTTTTCATATTTATGAAGAATTTAACTTACACATTTGTAGCGAGCTGATATCAGCAAGTTAGCGCGACCACATGTAAAAATATGTACTCTGCATATAAGGTAAATTCTTTTTAACGGCACTTGTCAAATACTTGGCAAGAGGCACGGAGTTAGATATTGTATCGAGCAGTGCGTCTATTTTATTACGGCTATACTTGTCGTAAAACGGTGATCTCAAAATATACAACAGTAAACTCAATCTTCGACGTACGAGTTCTTCTTCCTCATCCTTACTTAATAATGCTTTTCGGGCACAACGAGCGAAGACATTTAAACTGCACAAACAATAACAATTCGATTATGTCAAATATCACAATTTATTAATTATCTATAGTAGTTCAATGTGCTGTGTACCTGGCTATATCGATAATAAGTGATAATATCCACGGTGGCCAACGGTTTTTGCTATTAAGGTATATACATCCTAGATGAAGCAATGGTTTTGTCACATAAAGACTCTAGAAATTAAATATTTTTGTTGTATTTTTTTTTTACATTAACATATTACGGGCAAAATCCGCATAGTATGTAGTCGCCATTAATGTCGACTGAGTAATATCAGCATTAAACAATTCAATCGTATTGTGCAATGCTAACAGGCCTGAAGGCCTGGGCAATGCTGACATTTGTACAGTAATTTCATACACTACGTACGTTTTGATAAGATTGATAATATCTATATGATAATACTTTGACTTTGATAAATTTCAGTTTAAATTGAGATACTTTTTATAATATTAAAACTTATCATTAATAAGACACACATGACATATTATAATTTTTAACTAACCTCAGCTAATTTAAGATCCCTGTTAGATTCCTGATTTTTAGTTAGATTTTCGTTCTCGTCTGTGACAGAAGGCAAAGCTTTCCATGTTCGTAATTCTATAGGAGTTGAATATTTTACACTTCTAACAACAGTGCCTGATCTTTTCAGCATAAAGCCTTCCTTCAGCTGTACATTGTCAATTTTATTGAATTTTTCTCTGTTAAGAGGTGGTATCGCTGGGCTTTTCGTTATACGTTCCTTATATACATAAATTAATAGCAGTCGCAATATAGACCTAGAAAGAATAGTCAACAATACAAAAAGGAGACTCGATACACATTCAATGAATTCTTTCATCTATATTACACTGGATTAGTACATGTTAAAGGCTGCTTTATATAAAGCATCTAAATGTAATAGTATAATACAAGTAATATTTTGATAATGAAATAACACACTACAGTGAATGATATGTATATGTTAAATGATGTGATAATATCATTAGATATTTAATTTTTAAAATATTTATTTTTACATTTAATTTTATTAATGTTATATATGATAGCTCAATTTTAAGTAAAACATTTGAAATTTGACTAAAGTGAAAAAATAGTTTTAATGCAATCTAGTATCTTTATAGTACAGGAATAAAAAAACAGACCATAAGATCCAATTTCATCAATATAAGATTCTAATTCCTTAAATTAGAAAAAAAGATGAGAAATTAATTGAACCAAAATCAAAGTTAACTTTACATTGGTGGAATCAAGGCTTTATCCATTTCTATCAATATAGATTAACTTTAATTCGGTTTAACGTTGTATCTTTTTCCAGTTTTAAGAATTAGAAAAAAGACAAAGAGAGCAAGTAAAGCAAGATTAAAGTTAATCTGTTAAAAATGAACGTAACTGTAATACAAATAACCGAATTCGCTGCTAATTTATCGGTAAAATAAAAGAGCGCCTAATATTTACTTAAACAATTGTATGACTACGATTATTAGCCATTTTCCCTTTGGCCCCCATAACTTCTTAGCTGAAACCTCGAGCAAGGTCTCAGTGTACTCCACCACGGTCAACCAAATTTTAATCTTCGAGTCGAACTGAGGTATTTTCAAGTTCTGACGTTTGCTGCTATACATAAGCAAATCGTTGCAGAGCACTATCAGATTTGGCATGGAATAAATCAACTCCACGGCCAATGTTGAATTGCGCAATTGTCCTGCAAAGAACATACATTTTAGTATCTTAAACGCGGCGGAACGTAACAATGAAGTTCGACGGCTTGTCTTCTAACCAAAACTGAAATATGATAAACATCTGACAGTAGCCTCGATGTCTGTTAATAATTGCGGATTCGTTACGATCCAATTCTTGTACGACGTCAATAGGTTGTTTAACGTGGAATTAACACACTTCGCCATCTCGTTACGTTTAGATTTTTTTGTAGGGAAAAGTAAAAATGTTTAATTCTGCTTATCTCATTACAAAAAAGTAAATCATTGCGTTGGATATTGGGACTGCCATGTTTGATTCCGAAGATCGAATTCAATTTCGATTTTCTTCACCAATGCGAATCGATCTCTATGTTTGCCTTTAAAGACTATACGAACGTTTATAATTAGAGAAACTAATCAATGAAATATTTAGCGTAAAGAATTACTAAAAGATCAAGAGGAAGAATTAAAGGCATATATAAATTCTCTCTTTATCCAAAGGGAAATTTGAGAGAGAGAGAAAGAGAGCGCAAAGTTCTGAATTCAGAAAGTCAAGCAACACGAACAGACTTACGATTCTTGTAAACAGCACCGAATTGTCCATGTCGCCAATTGGTTAATCTAACTTCCTGATTAGTTAATTTAATATAGAAAAAGACTATAAAATATTTAATTTAAATTACGATTGATTTACAAAAGTTATTATTAAATAAAAATGATTCCTTAAACAATTTCCTTATGAATCATTCCATTATTTATATTTTGTACGAAAATTTTCAAATTCAATTAAAAATGATATTCGACAGCACCATCGAGATAAATCTTAATTAATCAGCTATCGATTAACTTTATAGTATAAAAATAATTAATTAAAATTATCTTTAACTATATTATTTCGTACGAAATACAAATAACTTATAATAAAAAAAGTATAGTTTAAGAAATAATTCGTTGTTGAACAATTTTTATATACGAATAAACTTGATGTATCGATTATTTACGTAGTTTAAAAATATTTGATTTAAATTATCTGCAAACGATATTATAAAATCCTTTAAATTTTATATACCCACTTCAAGACTCATGCAAAATATAACCGTTTATTAACTTATTTATATCAATTATATAATTATAATGCATAAAATTAAAATTAATTAAAATAATAATGTGGATGACTGTGCGTCAAACTCTTTTAATTACACTTTTCCAAAATTCTCAAATTATCTATCTTCGAATCGCATCTTAAAAAAGGGAGTCTCTATAAAAACGATTTCATAAATCGTTTAAGAATCAAAACAATTGTCGGCGAAGCACGTATATACGAATACGGTTAAATTCCATTTTCGAACGCGCAGCCCTGGCCTGAAATCCCAACGCTAACGGGATTGCTCGCCGACCGGTTGGCCGCCCTGGGTGATGCAATCGGCGGTGGTGCACATGCACAACACAGTGCCCCGGTGACAGGGCGCGCGATGCGCGCGCGTCGGGTGTATGTGTGTGTATAGTACACGCCATGCGTGTGGTACGGTGCGTCGAAAAGTGGTCGTATAAATAAACAGGGAGCCTGCGAACGATCAGCACTCGCGGGGCCTGTCACGGTCTCGGTCGGTTGGGCTTACGGACGGTCCGGAGTGACACAGACGGCTGCTGCGGTGTTGCTCCCTCCCCGACCACCCCGCGCGCCCCTTTGGTGTCCTTCAACCGAAGATGTCATCGCCTACACAAGTGGTAAGAAGACGTGGTTGCGATAGGCAGTAGTTCATGCCCGATAAAGGTGGACGTATATGTCACCCTTATTCCGTAAACAATCGCTAGCTTTATTTTACTTTTATTGTTAGATTGTTTTTTGTTATTATAAATTTAAATCGACTCCAATTGCCGCTTTCACCACAACACCGTCGTCGTACGATTTAAATCGAGAGATAAGCTTGCTGCTACTGTTTTTTGTTTTCCCCCTTTATATGAATCACGTATTCGTTCTCTCGCCCCTTTGTTAGAACGCGAGCGGCATATATTCGAGTAAAAATAGAATTTATTGAATGAATCGAAGTGACTACTTTGCGTGGTGGTTGAAACTAAAAGACGAGAATTCGATTTGCATATTACTTACATTATGACATGCACATCGAAAGCGTGTTATTGTATACGCGGGAAATTATCGGAGCATTAATATTATTGTCGCAGACAGCAATTTCATCTTTATGGAAAGAATTTTTCGAGGAGTCGACCAATTTTTAGCGAATATGTATGATACTCGCAATTCTCCGGATAAATTGTAGGCACGCGGTTACAATTATGTTAATTAAAGCGATTTGCATCCTTCTTGGAAAGTGAAAAAAAAACAGGACTGCTCACCGTTTTTTTGTGCCTGTAGAAAGATTGTATGAAGATACTTATTATAATTTGCATTTCGTATTTACATTTTACAACAAACATTATTTGCAATTTATATAAACATTATAAATATATTTGTATTTTTGTAATAAAAATATGAAATAAATTATGTACGAATGATACAGTATTTTAGTATGAAAAATTATTTTTTAATAATTTTGCATTGTTTTGTAAATTAAAAATTCCTGTTTTGTAAACTAAATTTCTCTCCAATGTCTCAAAGAACCGGATAACTAAATTATTAATCATTAAGTTGCAACATGTAGTATTAATGAATCACAAAAATACGAACGGAAATTACAAAGTACGAACCAGAAGTTAAAATTTCCGTGTTACGTGATCTTGTTGGAAATATCTTAAAGATCAATCCAATGCAGTTGTTGCAATAAAGTGCTATTAGAGAAAACTACCATATTGGCATAAAGTGACTACTCTATATCAAATTGACTATTGTACATCCTGACGGTACCAGTATTAGATAATGTACTATCTTGTAACTGGCTGGATTAGGTCGATGATTAGGCCTCAGTGACTGCGGATAAATCTCATTCAAACATGCACGGTCATTAGATAGGTTTTATGGATGAAGAGCTCGCTAGGAAACACTTTGCTGAACGTTTGAATATATTTTGGTAATAATATATGTAATTAATTTTTTTCCTTTATACATAAAAAAAATTAAAGAATATATACTGTAAACGTTAATATAATAAATATATAAATATGAAAAATTTTACGATAATCGTATTCAGTCGCTGTTAATAATAATGTGATCATAAATTAAAAATTAATTTGTAATCGCCCTTTCTTTAAACAAATTCTAAAAAAATATAATTAATCTCAGCTCCGCTAGGAAATATAAGTTATTCTATTCAATAAAACAAGCGTGTTTTTTTTTGGTTGAATTATCTATGATTGTGAAATATCAAATCGATGATAATCGAAAATGTTTTTAACTTAATCTATGACATTCCCGACATTAGTTTATCATATTATTATCAAACTGTATTTTTACGTATTTAGATAAGCTATCTTAACATAGCATTTCTTACTGAAAATAGGCAATTTTTGTGAATTTAATGTATAATAGTTAAAATTGTAGTTTAAAATAATTCATCGTGGAATTTTGTATTCTCTATTTTGTAAAATACAATTATTTTTTTCTATAATTATTTTTTTTTTATTTCGTATTTACATAAGTGACCTTAGAGAAAAATAATTGGTCTATTAAAGTTATCATTTAAATACATTTTTATTGTTACAACGTTTCTGCATATCGAGTTTTTGCAATTAAATAATAAAATTATATTTTTACATTTCAGATTAAAAGCGTTGGGCCAAAATTGGTACCGTTCTTTAAAAGCGTGTCCGTGTATTTTGTATTACTTGCTGAACAGCCATCTCTATTAACGGCGTGTTTTAAATGTTTACCCATAATAAGCCTCATTATTTTTGTTTTGTTGCACGGAATTAGTTTGTCTAAAGAGTAAGTAAAGAGTGCTCATAACGAGATGAGCTAGATTTTAAATCGTGGTAATCTTTTTGCTTCAGCATTGCTAACGCAATACTCATCTCTTTGCAGATATGCCTTCTCCAGGCGTATATTAACGGGATTAGTGTTTAGTTGTATAGGTGACGCACTATTAGTGTGGCCTAATTGCTTCACTGCAGGGATGTGTATGTTTGCTATTGCGCAAATTATGTATATATTTGCATTTGGATTCAACCCCCTTAATTTAACACTCGGAGTAATACTGTACATGTCTTGTTCAATTGGTAAGATTTATAGATAGAAATATTGCGAATGTGTGTTTATTTAATCGATTAAATATTAATGTTCATTGATCGCTATCTGTTAATAATTAATTGGTTAATGTACTGCTTTCAGTTATATGTGCTTTGATGCCTGGATTAAATGGGATTTTAACAATAGGAGTACCAATTTATACAGTATTACTTACCACTATGGCATGGAGAGCCATATCAAGAGTGCAATTCTTCGGGGTACATTTATATGATAATATAGAAAAAAAACTATAGAAACAATTAACTTTATACCTCTGTTAGTCGCCTCTATTCCTTTTAAAAATATGTAATACTTACTTCTCTAATAATAAATTATCATTTTTCTAAAAACTTTGTCGCAAGTATTAGTTCTTATATGTAATCAATGTAATACAGAGAATTAATCATATTTTATCCATTAGGAATTGTGGACGTGGACTAAGTTGTGCAGTTGCATTGGAAGCATTTGCTTTGTCATATCTGACACTTTGCTCGGGTTTCATTATTTCCACAGTCCATTACCGTATTCTCAGGTATGTACATTAAGGCTGTGTTTTGTTATTCACTACAAATATTGGAAATTATAATATGCATAACATATATAAACAATTTTCTGCACTTGCAATGAATAAAATATTTCAAAGCCATTTTATTGAATAACGGAACGCAGCTTATACATTCATAGTGCTTGTGAAAAATAACCTTGATAATAATATGATAATTTTATGAAAGGTATAATAATGATCGATTTTTTTTACTTTTCAGGTATCCATTATGTTGACATATTATGCAGCACAATTAGGTATAGCATTAAGCGCAGTAGATTCGAAAAACAATAGTAATAACAGAGTACCTGCCAGTAAAGGCTGAAACATTTATCCTCTATCTGGATAAACTTATCTGCAGATGCAAAACAGGAATGTTTCTCAACGTCTGCTCTAAGCTATATGCATAATTCCAGTAGGAAATTATTGTGATAATCGTCTTTGACAGATTGAATATTTCAAAGCCATATTATTGAATAAGAAGACTCGGACGAGTTTCAGTGATAGGATACTATACTTTTGACTGCAGAAATAGTCTTATATTTTTTTTGTATTATTAATGAAATACAAAGAGATCCTATAGAGATTTCGTACTAGCCACATTGGTGGTATCCCTATTTTTTGTATATGTATAAGAATTAAAAGATAT